ACAAACATTGTTACCAACATGAGACCAGGCAGGTACAAACATTGTTACCAACATGAGACAGGCAGGTACAAACATTGTTACCAGCACAAGAACTGAAATTGCCAGCTGTTGATACTAGGCTGTGTTCTTACCTTAGAGGTTGCACTATCCCAAATAGCTAAACCAAAGTAGTCTTCTTCCAACAGATTGAGGTGCTCACAAACTCGCTTAAGCAAATCCTGTCCCTTAGCATGTTTCTGTGAAGACATACAAATATATTAGTTAAGGCTTCTTATTCTTGTATTCACCACCAAATTTTTCAAAAAGTGTTCTTTTCCAATTTCCTTTTTTACCTTTGGTAACTAGTACATTATCAGATGGCTACAGTCTAAACAGAACATGATTTATAAAACCCCTCTCTTCCTCCATACGTCAGCTTATAATTGCAACATACTATGGCACTTTGGAAATAGCCACAATGCTAAGTAAAATCCCACCTCCCCTCTTTCTCCATCTCCATCCAAAAAAACCGCACCGCCAAACCAGGGTCTCATTATGTGATCTTCCTGCCTTAGATTTTTTTTTTGAGGGGGCGGGTGTTGGTTTTTTAGACAGGATATATAGCTCTGGCTGTCCTAGAACTCACTTTGTAGACCAGGAACTCACAGAGATCCACCTACCTCTGCCTCCCGAGTGCTGGGATTAAAGGCGTGCACCACCACCACCGCCACCGCCACCACCGCCACCACCGCCACCACCGCCACCACCGCCTAGTTCTGCCTTTGATTCTTAAGCACATGGACTGCCACACCCAACTAAGCACATTCATCCATTCTCGGTCTCGTTCTCATAATTTCCTGAACCAGTTACCATGGTCAACTAAATTACTAACTCAACCTGTCAAAACATGATAACTGTGGCTGTGGAAATCATTTACAAAGTAAGAATCAATGTGAATGAGCTATACCTGAACTGTCTACAACCTCTTTCTGAGAAGTAGGAAACAGACAGCCTGTAGACACTAACTGTTGTAAGAGCTATTCAGTCGTGTTACAAATCATTTTCTTTACAAAGTCAAACCACTTCTAAAGCTGGGTAAACTCTTACTTATAAGGAAGCATGCCCTAATTTATAGGCTGTGAATTAAAGTTAAAACAACAACCTGGCTCCTTCATTAACCAGCTAATCAACTGTGTCATTCAATTAACAATAGCTCAACTGTAAAATAAGAAGTTTTTATATCCATTTACTAAAAGAACAGAAACATGTTAATGCCTTTTGAAAAATACATAAAAAAATACTTCAAAAATTACAAATTACTAAACTCGGAGCCTTTTGTGTGTTAGGAACATGCACTATATTGAGTTATGTCTTAGCTGTACAGATCTTTTTAGTATATACATTTGACACACCCTCATCTTAATGGATTATTTTAAATGACTACTAGTAATTTGCATAATTGTTCATTTAGTATTAATTTACATATATAACAGTGTTTAATTTAACCTTTTTTTTCTGATTTCACTCTAAGGTCAATGAGGGTCAATAATTTGAGAATTCAAGTACAAGTCCTTAACCCTTTCACTCATAATTCCCAAATCCAGGAGTTCAAAAAAATCAAAAAGTTTATCACTAAAGCTCATTTGTTGAAAATTTTCGGCTGTTTACAACCTTCATTTACCCATAATAGAACGAATATTATGTTTTTACCATAGAAATAACATGTTTGATTCAGGCACAGTGGCACATGCCCATAATCCCTGCACTTGGGTAAAGGAGGCAGGAGACTGAGTTACATGACTCCCATCTCAACAACAGCAACAACCCAACTACAAAATTAAAAATATAGTCAGGTGTGGTCATATTTTGTGGTACTCTAATAAAACTTGCCTGAAGATCAGAGGACAGAGCCAGCCACAGAGTTAAACATAGAGACCAGACAGTGGTGGCACATACCTTTAATCCTAGCACTTGGGAGTCACATGCCTTTAATCCCAGCACTTGAGATCTCATGCCTTTGCTACTAGAATTTGGGAAGCACACACGCCATTAATCCCAGCACTAGGAAGGAAGTGAAATTGCTGGGTGGAGAAAGGCATATAAGGCATGAGGAGACAGGGACTAGGTCCTTTCAGTTAAGGACTCAGAAGCATTCAGGCAGAGGACTTGTAGTGGGTAGCCATTCCAACCTTCATCTGTAAGTTCCAACCCCAAAAATTTCACCAATAAGGACTCATGGAGTTGGTGAGGTGTGAAGAGGCTGTGGCTTGTTCTTTGTCTCTCTGATCTTTCAGCATTTTCCCCAATATCTGGCTCTGGGTTTTTATTATAAGACCATTTAGATTTCGTGCAAGAGTCGGGCAGTGGTGGCACATGCCTTTAATCCCAGCACTTGGGAGGCAAAGGCAAGTGGATCTCTGTGAGTTCAAGGCCAATCCGGTCTACAAAGAAAATTCCAGGATGGCCAGGACTATACAGAACCCTGCCCTGAAAAACAAAAAAACAAACAAAAAAATTGAACTATATATTCTGTAGATAATATTTTAGATGCTTGTGGTTGAATACATTTATATTTGTACATTTATATTTGTACAAAAAATGTTTATCCATAAAAGCTATTAGTACTTGCAATAACTGTGTCTATAGCAACCACAGCACAACTGGCAACTACTGTTCCGGTTAAAGCAACAGTTAACAGATGCTTCAGTTTGTTCTGAAGGAACAAAGAAAAAAGTTGAATAACTGACATTTATTAAATCCTGATTCAATTACTGATTCTTTGATCTGTGTGTGTGTGTGCGTGTGTGTGTGTGTGTGTGTGTGTGTGCGTGTGTGTGTGTGTGTGTGTAACATGTACATACATGAGTGTGTGTGTGAGCTGCATGGCATGCACATGGAGGACAGAAGTCACCTCAGGTGTCAGTCCCTTGCCTTGTACCTTATTGAAAACATCTCTCGTTTTGTCTCTGCCCACATTTGAAGGAATTCTCCTGTCTCTGTACCCACCTTGCTGCAGGAGGACAGGGATTACAGTGGCTAATGCAGCCAGCTTTGTGTGGGTTCTAGGAATCTGAACTCGGGACTGAAGTGCAGGTGCTTTTACCCCAAGACACTGGGTAATTTTGTTTTTAAACATAATTATAAGGATAGCTGGACCTAGTATCAGAAATTCAGCCTACTCTGGGAAATCTGGTCACAGAGAGGATATATATATATATATATATATATATATATATATATATATATATATATAATATTTATAAACAAAATGATTCTATAGTTATAAAAGTAACCACACGCTTAAGTCTCAAGATCTTGACAGATTCAGGGAGGAAAAAATAAGACTGACAATTTTCCTACCACTTCATTTCCATCCACAGAATGGTCCTGAGAGTGGGTCTTGTCTTTAGCAGCCCCACACCCCACATGAAGCGATTGTAGGCTCTGGCTCTGAGATTCAAAAGCACTCACCTCCACCACACACTCAAAGACTGTGTCATCCAACAAGGAGACCTTGCAGTGCATGTCTCTATGTCTCCGGACGGGCTTCTGCGAAGCCTCGGGCTCTCTTTCTGCTTTTGACTCGGGCTCCTCCTTCACGCCTGCCCTGGAGCACTCTTCAATCCCTTCTCCTTCCTTTGTTTCAGAATCCGGATCCTCTCGGTGTTCTTCCTGAGCTGGCTGCACATCCACGACACCACGTCAGTGAAAAGGCATTCACAAAACAGGCTATACACATTCCTACCTACAGTAAGTAGTAACCCCACCAATAAAAATATGAACAGAGAGAAATTATTAAAACAAAAATAAGTTGAGTTATATTAACTCATTCCTAACAGGTATTATGATTTCCTCAAAGATGTTCAGACTTGACTGTTCTTAATTTTTTTCAGGTAGAAGCCTATCAAACCAGTAAGTGACTGTGGGACGCCAATCTACTGTTCTTGGCATTATAGAATATATTCTTCTGACTGTAACATTATATGAGATATATGGTCATCAAATGTTTGTTGCCTCTATCTCATCATCCTCCACTTTAGAAAAGTAGCCTTGTGAACTGTGAATAAGATGATTTGTCACAGGCATTAAATTTTATAAACAGCTAAAAGAGGCTCTTGAGGCCTTACACCCTCTACATATCTGTGTTAAGAAAAGAAGGTAACCAGGCTAGAGACTGTGGCTCCACTGCTCCCTACTTTGCTACATCCAAACATGGGTGAAGGAGGAGGGAAGACTGAAGATGGCCTCCTCCGGCAATCATTAAGTCACCCAGTGTTACACAGGAAGTCATAGAATATTTTAGCATATATTTTCTTACTGTTTTGTTTTGTTGTTTTTTTTTAAGACAGCTAACTAGTCTCAAACCTGTAGTTCTCCTTCCTGCCTCATTCTACTGAGTGCTGGGATTAGAGGCCACACTGGACTGTTTTCTTTCTTTCAACACAATAAATCTATTGAGAGTTTTAACTAAATTCTATGAATTCGTTCCTTCCAAAACAAAACATGATTGACATTTATTAAAAGAAAAAGAAAAAGAAAAAAGATTGAGTTGCTTGCCTGCTGTATTAGATTTAGGGAGTGGCTGACAGGCTTGTACGTAGCCTTCCACAACCATCTCTTGCAGCCTCAGGGAGGCCTTCTGAGCTATCCTATTGGTCCTGTCCCTCTGGACTGTGTCTCACGTCAGCCCCGAGTGCTGCTCCTTCCACCTGCACGTGGGCGGTCACCATGTTTGCAGCAGCAAGCACTTTACCTCTGAGCCATCTCACGGGCCACCATTTACATAGTTTTTAACTTTCCAAGGGACATCTATCCTAGAACCTGGCTTAAGCAGGTGTATCTCTGTGAGTTAGAGGCTAGCCTGGTCTACGTAACAAGTTCTAGGCTAGGCAAGTCTACACTTCTCTTAAAAACAATAACTGTTTATTATTATAAATAATAATGATAATAACAAACACACAAAGCCTCATAGATAAGGCTAGGGAGATGGATCAGTCAGTAAAATTTGCCATGCAAGCATGAGGGCCTGTTATTCTTCTGTGATTTGCAGTCCCTACTTTGATTCCATAGATCTCATTCATAACTACTGTGGTAGTTTGAAAGAAAACAGCCCCCAAAGGGAGTGGCACTATTAAGAAGTGTGGCCTTGTTGGAATGGGTGTGGCCTTGTTGGAGAAAGTGTGTCATTGTGGAGGCAGGCTATGAGGTCTTATATATGCTCATGATACCTCCCAGTATCTTAGACCACTTCCTCTGCTTGCACTCTGCCATGTCCCACCATGGTGATAATGGACTGAACCTCTGAACTGTAAGTGAGCCACCACAATTAAATGCTTTCCTTTATAAGAGCTGTCGTGGTCATGGTGTCTGTCTCTTCACAGCACTAGAAACCCCGAGACAACTACTCTATAGTGAATCTTGGTTTTATTGTTTGTGTGTGTGTGCATGATTCACGTATGTTATGTGCATGTGAGTGCACATTTAAGGAGTTGGTTCCTGACTTCTACCTTGCTGGAGGCTGGGTCTCTCTTTTCTGCACTGCACTATTCAGTCTAACTGACCCACAAGCTTCCAGGTGAGTCTCCTGGCTCCACCCCTTATCTTTCCAGAGGAATGCTGAGATTATAGATTTGTGCTACCATATTAGGCTTTTCATGAGGGTTTTAGGGATTTGAATTAGGTCGTCTTTTTACCCACGGAGTCACCTATCCAACCCTGGGTCATGTTTTTAATATTGTTTCACTAACAGCAAGTACCTATTATGATTTCATGCTAAAGTCAGCCTTTGGCATTCTAAATATACAAGTAAGAGTTCTAGAAATACATGTAATAATTTTAGAAAAGCCTAACAAAACTATATACCCCAAACTTTAGACTTTCACAGAGGCACACACAGGACTTAAACTGTAACAATCCAGATAATGTTCAAAGCTACAGAAGTAAACTGAACACAGCTCCTACTTTGTAAGCAGTAAGGCTGAAACCCAGTAAGATTCCTAAAAACAGTTTGAGTTATACTAGTAGGACTTTTGCATGTATTTTGGACAAAATAACAGTTTATGTTTAATTATACTGTGACAAAGTTAAAGCCCTGCACGAATAAATACTACAAAAGGGGCCAATGAGATGGCTTATTTTTGAGATGCTGCCAGGCCTGGTGACCTGACTCCTTGATTCCTAAAGGTCATGCTGTGGAAAAAAAGAGACTGACTCCCCAAAGTTGTCCTCTGGTCTCCATATGCACACTGTGATACACTCTAGAACATGCATGTGTACACATGCACACAAATAAATAAATGTAATAAAAAATTTAAAATTTTTTGGATGGAATTAACATTGCAGTAATGTGCTCCCTAGAGCATATAGCCCAAACAAGGCAGGCATAGCTCAGATCTATCACATACCCTGGGATGGCCTGATCCATCACATGGATTAATGAAGATTTTTACGAAAGGGCCACCCACCCCTAATTCCACCAAAATGAACTTGAAACCACCTCACTTCTTTCTTGCTCCCTCCTTAAAACAAATTTGTTCCATTGTTACATCAAGATAATATATGGACTGAATAAACTCATTTGATGGTTTTCTTTCATTTCCTTGATTTATAGAGTATATTTTTTTAAAGTCAGGTTTCAACTGATTAATTTCTTTAGAGCAGAAACTCTTAAGGTTATTTATCACCATCAATGCCTAAATCAACTGGCTCATAAGAAATAATACCAAATATTCTTCTATAATACTGCATACAATGTATCTTCATTAGACTCTCCCCCACAGTCGACCGCCTTACCTGTGTTTCTATACTGCTTAATGAATGAAGATCCAGAGACGGGTCTGTTTTGAGTTCAGGTTCAGGAGCCGCAATAGGAGCCTTTAAAATGACGTCTTCATCAAGGCTGGTTCCAAATTCTATCTCCTTCTGACCTCCTTCACCTTTTTCTTTATCTGATTCTACTTCTCTGCCTTCTTCTTCAGAAACCTGAGACTTAGGCCTTTTGAGGAATGAGGAGAGCAGTCGTGACAGGCCTCTGCTTTCTGACGTCCGTTCCTTGTTCTTAGTCAAGTCTTCATGTGTCGGAGTGTCCCCATTGGATGCTTTCAGCTTCTGCTCACACTGATGACTGCCCTCAGCTGCCGGCTGGGAAGCTTCTTCCAGCTGAGTTTCTTGTCCTGAGTTTGTGGCTCCCTCACCTTCTTCCTTCTGTTGATGGTGCTGAGAATTCTCAGCTTCAACCACTACACTCTTCTCTGTTGTCATGATGTCCCTATTAAAAAGAAGGAGGGGGCGGCTATTATAAGCAAAACACATTGCTGGAGGCCAAACCCCTAAACCTCAAAAGACTAATATATTTGAATTTAATCACCAACAGAATTCCAATCCATTAAACAGAAGACCTTACATTAAAGCACAAAAATATTTTACCTATACATCCTGGATAAATTATTAATGCCTTAAGTCATGAAAGACTAGCTTAAAATAGTATCCGCCAAGGCCATGTAATGAAATACACCAAAATTAAATTCAAGGCTCAGAACCGTACACAGCAAATACACCTTCATGCTTCCTAAAAGAGGGACTTATCTGGTACTGTCCTTTCACAGTGTCAATCAAAAATGCAAGATTTTCAGGAATCCCATACCCTAGAGACGATTAAATTAGGAAGTTCCAAAAATCTCTTTTGTTTTTCTTCCTCTTATTTTGTAGCACGAAGACTTCTCCATTAGGAAGAACAAACACAGAATTCTGATCATTTGCTATCCGAGTTGGTAACAGCAGGAACAAGTATACAGTCAAAATGATCACACAAAACATGTCCTTAGGTTTCATGATGCAATACCAAAATATATCCTCTTTCAGAGGCATTGGATTTTAGCTCTTCAAAATAATTTTCTTCTGAGAAATATGATTTTGAATGCTCAGCAGTTTTGAAAGTAGGAAGTGAAACCATTATACTGGGGTGAGAAATCAGAGAAATGCTCTAGGGGAAATCTAGAAAGCCAATGTTGGTTCACTTTAGGGGAGAAGGCAGGCCACAAACTCACTGATATATTTGAAACTTGATGGCTAGAGCCTTTTGATGTCAAAGCTCCAGTATTAGTTAGTACTCCAGTCTCTGTTCCAGTTCAGATGTCAAGTCTCTGAGCGAGGCCTCCCAGGCACTCCAACTAAAGTAGCATTTCCAACAATAGCCTCTCAACCCTACAACACTTCTGACCTTGTTGACGTGTTTGCTGCCCTTCTTCCATACCCCTCTCCATCTAAAACACAAGATTTCATGAGGATAAGATCTTGAGTCTTTTTTTTAACAGATTCGTTTTATTTTTGACCTATGTATGTGTCAATATACATGTGTGTGTAGGTGCCTGGAGACCAGGGAGGGTGTCAGATCTCCTGGAGCTGAAGTTACAGGCAGTTGTGAGTCCCTCCAGTGTGGGTGCTCTGTAAGTGAAGCAAGTACTCTTAACCACTGAACCAACCATACAGCCCCTGAGTCTTTCTGAGCACTGCACACCCAATGCATAGAGCAGGGTCTGCATATACTAGTTGTTGAGTGTTTGCATGTGTGGTGTACATATGTGAGGGGGTGTGTGTACGTGTATGGGGGAGGCCAGAGGTCAACTTCAAGTGTCTCCATCAATCACTCTCCACTTCATGTTTTTGAGACAAGGTGTCTCACTGAACCTGGAGTTCACTAATTTGGTTTAGCTGGCTGTTCGATGATGAGTTCCAGGGATCTGACTAGCTCTGCCTCCTCAGTGCTAAGGATTACAGACATTTGACACTGAGCTCAGCTTTTTACATGGGTGCTGAGGATCTGAACTCTGATCCTCAGGCTTGTAGGACAACAGGCCTTTTTCTGACAGACTCATCTCCTCAGCCCCTTAATAAAAGTCTGGGGTTGTTTGTTTGAGACAGGAACTCACTGTGTAGCTCTGGCTGTCCTAGAACTCACTACATAGACCAGGCTGGCCTCTAACTCAGAGATCTGCCTGCCTCTACCTCCCAAGTGCCACCACACCTGGCTCATTTTATGTTTTATTGTGAACGTCAGGGGGTAACTTATTGGAATCAGTTCTCTCCTTTAGCCTCATGGCTTCTGAGAATTAAACTCAGGTCAGACTTGGCACCAGGTACCCTTAGCCACTGAGCCATCTAACTGGCCAAATAAAAAAAAAATTTTAATGACTTAATTTCACCTGAGTACATCTGATGTCTACAAACTTCAAAGGCACCCTCTAAATTTATTCAAGCATATTCATTCATCCATCAAATACTCATCAGGCATTTAGTAGAGGCCCAAGGCTAAGTGCCAAAGATGCCACAGTACACAAAACAAACAAGGTCTCTATCATAGAGAAGTTTACTCTTTCAATTCAACGTTGACACAATGAAAGAAGAGTGCAACAGAAATCTTGTTCAAGCAGGGGCCACACCTAGAATAAGTGCAAACACATGGAACAGAGCAAGGAAAGGGGGAAGCAGCTGATACTCGCACTGGGCACTGTTTTCTGTGTCAGAGTCCATGTTAGTAGGAGTCTTATCTACATTATCTCAAACCTTTCAATAACCACCCCCAAGAAAGGCAGGAATCATCTGATCTTGTAATTGAAGACATTTAAATTCAAGAAATACCCTGAACATAGGATCCTAGATGCTAGGTTGGGTCAGGACTGATTAATACTTGGATAAGAAAGAGTAACTTGCCCAAGTCAACACTGCTAGTAGGTTGCAAGCCACTACAAATGGTGCTGAAATAAATGAAGACATGGTAATAAAAAGAAAGCCCTTAGAAGAACCCTTACTCTAATCTATTTTCAAACATTAACAGTATTTAAAAAGATAACAATATTTAAAGAAGCACATCTATTCTCATTTACTAAGTCACTGAAATGATTCTGAGCTAATATAATACGAAATGTGGTCTTTGTAAACACTGCACAAATCACCTACCAATCAACACTCAGATTTAATTTTTTGCTCCTGAGGAACACCTATACTTTAAGAGAAATAAAATGGTCATCATCTTCATATCAGGAATATGAAACACCTATAGCCCAAATTACTTTCTTCAAACTCCAAAGTAATTAAACAACACAGAGAGAAAACCTGGGTGCTGAACCTCTGTTTCTGTGCACGAATAACAAGAGCACCATGATATTCTCTTTGAAAAACTAAGCAAGGAAACTTGAGAATGGCACGTTATTGTCCATGGGTTACACATACAGCTTTGCATCTGCCTGACCGAAAGGGAACAGAAATCATCTCTGTACTAAAATTTTCTGACACGGAAGACTTTATACCAGCTTCTCTCATTAAGATATTCAAAACACTGCAAACCTGTTGTGAAAGTTTTAGCAGGCATGAAAATAACTTAGCCTTTGATAGTCCTAAACTGACAGATTTAGTAGATATTTATTCTTGTGTTCTAGGACTTTTTCTTCTTCTAGTTTTAAAGACAAAAGCATCTTCTATGGATATCCCCATAACTGCCTGCAGAGGAAAAGGCATCTTCTCTATCAGAAAGTACCGAATAAGTACTCTCGCTGTCACACACACACACCGACAGTCACAATCCACATGCTATCTACAAGCTTGTTAAACTTCAACCTGCACACAATCAACCAGTAGTAATCTTGTTAAAATACAGATTTGAGTTCAACCCATTTGGAACTTGTTGCTCATGCTACTAGCCCACTGAAAACACTTTTAAGTAGTTAAGCAAAGCATAAATCCCACAAACAGTCACTTCAGGAAAGTACTTCAAGCTATCTAAAGAATAAAAACAGCAAAGAGCCACTTCCAGAAAGTGGAACATGAACAGTGGGAAAGCTTTACTCAACAAATGCTTGCTAAACTAATACAAGAAGCAAACAAAGCCCTGTGTTATTAAGCATGCAAACAGAACCATTAACACTCTTTAGAACTCAAAATCAGACCTTGGAATTTTTTTAACCACAGAAGTGTGGCAATGCCACATTTCCCATGCAGACATGACACTTGCCCAGATTCAGCATTCTGAATATCTCCTTTCATAAAACCTCTTTACCACTAAGACACCATGATTAAGACATACAAAGAATTATAGAATAACAAGGATCAATAAAGAATCAATATATTTTGCCACAAAATTGGATGCATAGTTTTTAAAAATGAGTGGAGTGTGGTAGCACACACCTTTAATCCCAGCACTCAGGAGACAGGGGAGGCCAGAAAAGGTTGAAGCCAGTAAGATGTATAGAGTGAGTTCTAGGACAGCCAGGGCTACACAGAGAAACCCTGTCTCTAAAAACAAACAAACAATAAACAAACAAACAAATAATTGTTTGTGGCTTTTTGAGTCTCATATAGCCCAGGCTAACTTCAAGCTGTGCACAAAGTTGACCTTGGACTACTGATCCTCCTGCCTCTATCTCCTGAGTACTGAGACTAACAGTGCATGCCACCAATTCAGCTCAGTAAATCATTATTTTTCAGTATCTCAAACTTGTCCTGGAAAATCAGTGATGCACACAATCAAGTTCTTCAGGTTACAGAGACAGGCTGGATAGTCAGAGGAAGCTACAAAGTCAGCAACAGAACCAGGACATCCTCTATAGTCAGACGCTCACTGCTGAATGAGGCTATTCTCATCCTAGATACAAAGCCCAAAGGAAAGTATCTATTTACTTAATGTCACAAAGAGGTCTTTTGATTGTTGTAAAGGGAAAAAAAAATCAGTACAACATTGAAGACAAAGTGATGAGCCCCCATTCAGACCCAATCTTAATCCTTCAAACCCTGAGAATTATACAGCATCTGGAATCAAAGATACATTTGTCCTAACAGTGTGCACCTGTTGTCTTTAGGCAAATTAGATCATTAAAAGCCCCATACTAAGCTGATCAAGAAGGCCAAATGAGGTCTCTCCTCTTTTTTAAAAATCTTTCTTAAATTAATACAGTTGGTGTTCCATTAATGCTTTTCAAATGAAAAACTTTGTAAAAAACAGTACAATTTGGTAGCATATAAAAGCTTTCCTTACCATCCACATTTAAGGATAAAGTTGAATGATGTAATTATCTGTTTTACTCTTCAAATTAGCTCACAGAGTATCTACCCATGTTTACTGAGTGCTAATCAGGTGTAAGGTTTTGGCTTGGGTCTCTAATACACAATTCTAAAGTAGAGAAGAATATATAAACAACTAAAACTAAAAGGTAAAACCTACTGTTTAATCTGACAAAGTGTTCTTGAGTGAAATAACAACTATCAAGTAACAGAGAA